CTCAATGGACAAACCTACAAAACAATCATTAATAACTTGCACAAAGCTAGAAGAGAAGTTAGTTTGTCATAATATACATTATAAACATCCAAACAACTTCTCTTTTCATCCATTCATAAATAACCTTCATAATATTAGGGAATTGAATTTCAATAGGACTTTGTGAAGGATTAATACATACTAAAAGCACATGACCAATATTTACAGAGAGATGTATAGGCGACTTACACACTTATCAATTGTCGCTTCACCTACTACAAACCTCTTATAAAGGCTTTCTAGTGAGAGGAATTTGCACATAATTGCTTATATACAAACAACCAAAGATCATCATTATTAATAAGTTGTCTCCACTCACTTAGCCTGCAAAATCAGTCATCTTTTGGCTTTGGTTACCCAATTTATATTGGGTACCTTCATGTTAGTAATAGACATCAATAATCCATAATTAAAACAACTACGGTTAAACCAACTATCTTTACTAACAATAAACATCATGTGTCTACATAATAAATATTCAGAAAAACACATACACATGATAAGGTCATTCTTTGGCAAATATTCAAAATATACGTTCATTACCTTGCCCAAAGAATTAAGTTTCCATACAGGGGTAATCTAGGTTCCAAGAGACCAAATATGCATAATTCTACATAATACGTTCCTTGAACTATTTCCAGTAAACCGATTCTTTAAAAATAAATCAATTTGTAAATTTGACAAATACTTTTCACTCTATAAATCAGATTTGAGGTTACACAAAATTGATTTGCAAACTTTCAAAACAAAATCCAAAATTTAACTAGAAATACTACAAGGAACTTGTACACATATATAATCAAGACTTCAAAGACGAGACACTTACCTCAAAGATGTTCATCTTTGAATCAAATCTGCTTCACAAGCAGACTTTGGTCTTCACGTGGTATTGGGAACGTTCTAGGGTTGAGTTCCATTCGCTGCATTCCTTGTAGGTATCCATCCTAGCCTGGAACTTGCTCCTCGGGGTTGCCCGGTTTATCAAGAGCACCTGCTCTGATACCAATTGTTATTTTAGATGAACTACTACAAGAGGAGGGGTGAATGGTAGTAGGTTCCAATCGCGGAACTTATGCGGAAATTAAAAACAAAACGTAAAGGAACTTAAAGCACACAACAAGTTTTATGAGGAAACCATCCAGTGCCTAACTGGAAGTAAAACCTCGGCCCTATTGGGACTTATAAACAAATTCCACTATAATAGGCAACTCTCCTAGTACAACCTATTACACAGACCTTTGCTTTGAAAGTTCCACCACGGACACTTGACTATATGATAGGACACCTCCTACCAGACCTAAGACACCTCTCAGGTTCCTTTCACTCATTGTGCAATCCAAGAAACACCCACTCAGGGTGACTAACTACCACTCGAATTTTACGAGATTTCAAACTCATACAAAAGCGTGAATTTAAGATAATTCACAATCTCACCCCAAAATACAAAACACTCAAAACCCTTTTTCCCATTACAAGATCTCATCGAATATCCCTAAATACATATCTATGAATAGAGAGATAAAACTAATATGTTGAACACTCAAGATCTGTCTGGAACTCACTAGACGTACTGTAACCAAAAACCTGATAGGAACTTTGACCAGGAGGACTGACTTAGCTTCGTGGTGAAGGATAAAACCATTAAGCACGACCACTACACTTCGTCAGCCTCCTCTTTGAATGAATGCATATGAGCATATTTATAGTACACTCGAATTATTCATTTCATCTTGAAAAAGATAGATTTTCTGAAAAGATAAGTTTAAAAGATATTTTCTAAAAATCAGTTTTCCGAAAATATATCTTTTTGTTAAGAATAAAAAATGTCAATAATAATAAGATAAACTTAGCATAAAATCAGATTTTATTCAAAACTTATCTTTTTGTTTAAAATACTTTTTAAACAATCTTATCTTTTTCCAAAAGGGATTTATTAGAAGATAAATATCTTTATTCAGTAAAACCAAATCCCTAAAAGATATGCACGTATAAGGTAAATATATATATCATTAAAACCGACTTTTAACGACGTGCATACTTAAGTTCCTATTAGGTTCCTGAACTCTGTCAGTCTCCGAGTTCCTGACAAGTCAGTTACTCTAATTTCATTGATTGTTTGGAGTTCACCTTGGTTCTATATAGACTTATTCCAGACCAAATTTTATGTCCAACATACTTACATGAATCCTAGAGCAATATACTTCTATTTCTCTGTCTTCATGTTGCTTCTCTGAAACTCTTGTTCTGGAATCCTGTAGTCTTGATATATTCTGGATCTTAGGGTTTGCCCCAGCATTACACCGGAACCAGGTCGTTACAACCCGTTTTGAAGTTCCTATTAAGAAACTTCTGGAAGTTCCATTTCTGGAACTCTTCTTCTAACTTTACTTGTATCCTCATGGATCCTCTAAAGTTCCTCTGTTTCAGTTCCTAATTCAGCCCTCAACGCTTACTGAACCTGCAAACATCACAACACTAGAAAATCCTTATTAAATGGAAGTTTGCTCAATCATAACTATCATCATCAAAACCTGATAAGGGTCAACAAGTTGCCCCTTTTTAATGATGACAAACTGAGCAAACTTCTGAGGATAACAAAGTAAAACAGAAGGTTAGTTTTTTTCATTTATAAAAACAATAAAGAAAACTAAACTAAATTAAAAGACTCCTACACATACATAACCTATATATGTATAGGATACTTACCTTATGAAGCTAACATATGTAAACACATGTTTACATAGTTACCTTCATGGTTCCTTAGCCATCATCATGCTTATCAACCATAACACTTATCGTTGTTCTTGTTCCTCTATTGCTTATCCAATATTGCTCAATTTCCTTACATATATACATGTCATTACTCAGGTTCCTTGTATCCTGTTCCAAGCATAACTTGCTCTTTCTATGCACAACTTAACATACACGTTAGATAGAAAATCATCATTAGTTTATAATCATCAAAACCTAATTGCTCAACAAACACATTATTAATAAGTTAACCTAATTGCTCAACAATAAACTAATTGATTTCTCGAGCTCTTCTCTGACATTTGTTGTGTCTTCTTCTACTCGATATACTGCCGAGCATCAGGGAATGTTTTCTTGCTACCATCCGGCTGTACATGCCGGATGGCTTTTCTTATCACCGTTTCTAGGAAACAGAGTCTTGAAAGGTCGAACTGGGGTCAAGCCTTCTCCTTTGTAGCACGGTGAGGAGTCGGTTGTCGGCCCCTGACTGACTTCTGTTACCTAATCTGAGCTGGTTTGTTGGCCGACTGTTCCTTTCTAGGAGCAGTGGACCGCTTGGTGATCAAATCTTTGATTTCACCCTTCAGACTACTCATGAATTTCAGGAGCTCATCTCGGGTGACTAGCGCTGACCTTGCCGCTTGGGATGGATTAGCCGGCTTCCCTGAGGGCTTACTTGACTGTCCAGGGGGACTCCTTAGACCCGCCTGGTTAGCATGGCGCTCCCGCCTATCTTTATGAAGGATGCGCTTAGAGATGAGGAACCCGTCAGGGGCCACATAGGTTTCGATGTCTCCATCGTCACCAGAGTCATGGTCCGTCTGGACCACCACTTCTTCCAGAGGCCGATTGGTCTCTAGAGGCGGCACATGTAGATCTTGTGAAGCCATCTTAGAGGTACTCTCCCCACAAATGACGCCAAATGTTTTGGGGTTTTTATGTCCCTTGGGAGAGTTACAACTCAAAGATTGGATTCGACAAGGGCGCCTATACCTGCAAAACAAACGGAGCTCCGAATGGTCGGATCGGAGGTCTGCCTCCGAAGATTAAGTTAGTACGAAATCGGAGTAAAATGTGTGGAAAATAAGTTATCTGCTCGGATTCCAAGATCAGGTGTTCTCTGTTTTAGAGAGCAATAAATGCCTTAATGATTAAGACGTAATGATTGAAAGTTTCAAGATCTCCCAATAATTGAGGGAATCTTCCTATTTATAGGGTCCTAGGAAAACGTGCCCTACCCTAGGGTTTGATGACCTAGGGATTAGGGCAGCGCCGTTGCAGCACCCCTTGGGATTTGGGCCTTGAAGGCCTTCATTCCATGCCCGAGTGACACGTGTCGTCCATCTAGAAGGTCCATTTGGACGTCTCTCAGAGGGACACGTGTCGCTCTCTGTTTGGTCCACTTAGGGGTATTAAATACCCCAAATCATCATCCTTCTCATTATAATGACCTTCTCATTTGACCCTAATTTTATGAGTGCATTTGGCGTGAAATTTTGTATGAGAAAGCGACACATTTATAGTTTGGAAGAAAGGATGATGTCAACAGTTTTCTGTTTTAGAAAAAGTTAATAGATAAGGGAATTAAAATTAAACAAGATCCCATGTGACAATGTTTTGTCAAAACTAATATTACAAAATATTATCTAATATAATTTTATATCATCAATAGGCAAAAGTATGTCATGTATATCAACTAAAACAGAAGGAAGGAAATAGTTTGGGGTTTCGGTGATTCTCAATGTTGGAAGAACAAATGAAATCTTTTAATCTCTGATGGAGAGGTTCTAATAAATCACTGTCGAATACGACCCGTGAATGATGGTATCTAGCTATATGGTGATTGTTAATCGATTTTGAGACTTGTTATATTGATTACTCGACTAGTAACGTATGTCATGACGCATTCTTGTCATGGATCATCCGAGGTAGGAAAATTCCTCAAACAAAGACAATCAAATACGAAGTAGAGTATTATTTTACACAACCATGAATTCTGATTTAATAGTAAAAGACCATTCCAAAAACGTTTATTAAAAATTACATTTTTTTTGGTTTTCTACAGGATTTTTATATCATATCGTACGTACTTGTCACCAATACAAGGTTTGCTACTTATTACGTACCTTAGCCTCTTGAAGTATCTATAAATATGGATCATTTGCTCAACCTTTCTAAATTATAAAATTAAATAAGTGTTGTAGTTTATTTCATAAAATAAAAGAGTTTTTTAAAAAATGGACTATTCAAAATTGAGGGTTAACACCAAAGTTAAGAACGAGAGCTTAGAGTTGGATGAGCCAGCAAGTCCAACTACTGAATACTTTTTGAGTGAGGTGGTAACACTCTACGTTCTTGGTTTTATGGAGTTGGAAATTCCTGTTGATTTTTTAACTATCTTTGATTTCATCAAGGATGTCTTCGCTAAAGCTCATCCCCGTTTTTATTCTATTGTGGTAGTTTTTTCTCTCTATCTCTCTTTCATTCTATTATATTTTACATGCATAACGTGTGACAAATAAACAATAATATATATGTTCAGTTATTGATATTTTTAATGGTTGATATATATTTTAGAAATATATACTGAGATGATTGTAACAAAGTTAAAATAACTATTTTTCATTTCATATAAAACAAAAACAATAGTAAAAATAAAAATGTGAAAGATGTTGTGTTTATGAATAATTTTAAGTTAATTAAAATGTGACAATACATGAAAAAAAATAAATGTTTGTGGTTATAATGTTTGTGGTGACTAAGTCAAAATGCATATCATAGGTACACTTAGCTTGTCATCATGGTGACTAACTTTGTTCATGAATACGTAGTATATCTAATTACACAGTGATAAAAAATTTAACAAAAATGTAATAATTTTATTTTAGATGTAGTATTTGGTATATACTATATTTTAATGTCAAATTTATTTATATTGTGTGTAATTAAATTTTTACAAGTACTACTGTACTAATAAGTAAGGGATGTAAAAATTTTGTAACTACTACATTAAACAAAATAACTTTTTAAATAAATAAGTAATAATATAAGAATCTTTAAAAAAAAAAAATTCCTCATAGCAATACTTCTTACACTTTTATTTGAGTGGTCTACCATATATAACATGGTTGAGCTTATGGACTATTCATAGCTATGTTGCCTATGTAGGAACATTATTCATTTGGTCAACACTAACAAGGAGAAGGAAAAAACAAAAAAAATTAATTAATTAATTAAAAACTAATGTAATGAGTCTAGATTTGAATTAAATTTTGTAACACTGTATCTGTATTAATTGGCTAATAGAACTAACAGTCAAATGAAAGTCATACTCTATATAAAATTAACTTAATTGTAGGTAGGTTTACAAGGAGCGTTATGATGATTACATATCATCTATAGCTACTTCACAACTTCCACAACACAAACCTCTATGGGAACTTCACATTATCAACAACCCAAAACACATCAATGCAAAAGGAATTTTCTTATTCAAAGTTCATCATGCAATTGGTGATGGTACTTCTCTAATGGGAGTTTTTCTCTCTTGTGTTAAACGAGTCGATGATCCTACACTACCTTGTACTTTCCCTTCTAAAAGTAGTTCGAGTACCATTCAAAGAAAGATGTCTAACACAGAGCAAATTGTGATGAACATGTTCAATATCGTTCCTAGATTTATAGCACCTATCATCTATTCATTGTATGATTTTGGACAAGGTGTTGGGTCAGTATTTATTGAAGATGATCAAACCCCAATAAGGTCGGGAAATATAGACACGAGTCTTCCAGGTTCGACTAGAGTTTGTTCAATGTCTTTTTCTCTCGATTATTTCAAAAGAATCAAGACACTACTTGGAGTGGTAAGATAGTTTTTTATAAAATTTATATATATATATATATAATTAAGAAAAGTTTTAAAATTACCACCAAAAATGAAACCATTTTCGAACTAATCACCCGTTTAATTTTTTATTTTAAATTACCACCCTTTAAATTAAATAAATGCTCAGATTACCAGCTATTTCAAAAATCTGGTGGATTTAACGTATGTGGGCCCCACCTAACGCTTATTTTGACCCTTTTGATTGATTTTATCCCGATTTTTCTCTTTAAAAACGATCTCCTAACTTCAATTCACATTTTTCTCTTTGAAATTTGGTAGAATTTGGTGAAGGAAATGTGAATTAAAGTTATGAGAGCGTTTTTAAGGAGAAAATCGGGGAAAAATCAGTCAAAAGGGTCAAAATAAGTGTTAGGTGGGGCCTAAAGACGGAAAATCCATCAGATTTTTAAAATGAGTGGTAATCTGAGCATTTGTTTAATTTAAGGGGTAGTAATTTAAAATAAAAATTAAATGGATGGTAAGTTAGAAAATAGTTACATTTTTGGGTGGTAATTTTAAAATTAACCTTATTTTTATGTTTTTTGTTAATTAAATTTATTACTCCCTCTGTGTTTTAATAAATGTTACAGTTTGATTTTTTTCACTATTTACATAATGGATTTGACTTGATTAATTTACTAATGTATAAAAAAACAAATGTTATTGTATAATACTCCATCCGTCCCATAATAATAGACAAATATACTATTTTGGGTGTCCCAAAATGTTCCTCCTATTACTAAAAATAACACCTACTACTTTTTAGCTTTTCAATATAAATTACACACATCTAAAAAATCATTACTTACTTTTTCTCTTTTTCACACAAAATACACACATACCTAAAATAGCACTACTTATTTTTTTTAACTTTTTCATACAATATTCTCTACTTTTGATTATCCCCATACAACATTCTTCACTTTTTATCTTTTTCATACAATATTCCTCTATTTTTTCCATCCTTTTTAAAAACCATACTTTTTACTTTTTTAGAGTTATTTTCCTGTAATTATGGGACAAAAGGAGTACATTGTTATATTTGTTATAACGTATACTTTCATATAATCAACTTTCCTATAATTTTATTAACATATGATTAGATAAATTAACGGCCAAAGTCGTGTCTCGACAAGCGTGTTTGGTCCAATTGTAACACTTATTAAAACATGGAATATAACTTCCTATTTTAATTTATGTATTTTTGTTGTGAAATAGACCGTAAATGATATCTTTGTTGGGATAATATTTCTTGGAACTCAATTGTAGATTCGAGAAAAAGACCCAGGACAACTACGGAAAAAACAATCGACAGCAACGATATTTATCAACGTTAGGAGTATGAAGGGAAATTTTAACGCAGAAGAGATGCGCAAAGGAAAGTTATTTGGAAATAGAATTACAAATATTGAAGTACCATTCCCACATTTGGAGGATATTGATCTTATAAAGCCACTCCAATTTATCAAGAAAGCACACAATATTATCAAAAGGAAGAGGAATGGTGCACTTGGTCTCCATCTCATGGCTGGCCTGCTTGAGGTTATAAGGACAATTGGAGGCCTAAAGGTTTGTTATCTTATTTATTTTCAAAAATTAATTTTTTTTATGCTTTTAACAATTACATAATCCCCTAATTCCGTATTGTTTGTAATATGAACTCACTTTTTCCTGAGATTTTTTTATTAAATGTTGCAAATAATAAGAGACCGAGGGAGTTATAATGAGAAATATATTATATAGTAATATTTAGAGTTAAGATTACAAAAGGGGTCCAACTTTTTAGAAAATATTTTGTTTAGGGTCTAACTTTTTTTTTACTTTGTGCTTGGTTCTAGAATAGGTTTTTCGGTGATATTTAATTCATTGTGTACCAAAAAGTTAAATCCTTAGTTAAAAAAACTTGGACCCTTCTAGTTAACCAATAAAGAAATTTCTTTTTAAAAAACATAAAAATAAAACAACCAATTAGAAAAATCGAAAAACAATTTAACCCTTTTTTTGTAGTGCAAGCACACTTTTAAAATATATATTTAGCTAATTATTAGTACTTTAATAATAAATTAATAGTTCAAGCTTCATTTCATTGAATCTGTAATTTAGAAGAAAATCAATAAATTTTGTTATATTCACAATTTTTGTAGACTATTTTTAACTAATTAAAAGTGTAAAATTGATAATAATACTAAGAATTAAAAAATTTCATAAAATAAGAATTCAATAAAATATGAATCTTATTTATAAACTTAGATTTCAATAGTTAATGCATAACTGACATACCCAATTATTGTGAAAAAATTTGGATATTTTTATTGCACCCTTATTCTAGAGAATTCAGGTACAACAAAAAATTAAAAATTATTTTGTAAATAATTATGATAATTGTAATAATTTTTTTATGAAAGTCATTTATTTTATAAATTATAAAACCTTACGAAGTATTACTAAAACATTTTATCGTTTAAAATAAAATCAGTTTTTTTTTGGAAAAAATATCAATGATTTTAGTTTAATTTAAATTTTTATCATTATTCCAAAAAAAAAGGTTTTTGTCACCTATTTCTATAATTAAATGCATTAAGGGTCTAAATTTATTAGATTAGCAGGGTCTAACTTTTTTTTTTTTTTTTTATCTAAGATTAACGGTGAGTTAAACTAACAAAATTTCCAACCTAGACCCCATACACAAAGTAAAAAAAAGAAAAAAGTTGGACCCCAAACACAATAATTATCAAAAAATTGAACCCCATTTGTTATCTTTTCTCGTACTTCCTCCGTTTTTTTAAATGCATCTCTTTGATTTTTGCACTATTCACATATTACGGTTAATTTAATTATATAATATATCATTAGATTAGTCGTAATGTCTAGTTTTATAATATAATTCTGTTACAATTTTTACTAATAGACAATAAAATATATTAGTAGTCAAAGATGTATCTCAACAAATGTGCCGATCAAACTAATGCAAATATATATATATAAAAATAAAAAAATAAAAAAAACAGAGGGAGTTTTATTTAATGTTTTGCGTTGACAAACACAAGTGTTATAAAACATATTACTGGGCCTCAACTAAAAGTTTAATTTGATGGTTGAGAGTGAGGAATATATTTTATACTCTATCAACAAGTTTGAAAATCAAACTGTAAAAACAGAAAATAAAAAAATAAATAAATAAAAAGGCTTATTACAATGTTTAAATTAAATGAACACAAACAATATAGATGTATAGATGACATAAATGTTCACCTTTGTAGGCTGCTGCACGAACACTTGAACGAAGATGGAAGAATTGTAGCTTTGCAATCACGAATATGATTGGGCCAACTGACCAAGTTAGTTTTGGAAACCACCCTATCAATGGCTTTTACTTCGTACCAACTGGAATTAATATGGTAAGATAATTTGTGTATCTTTTTATTTGATTACCAAAATTATCTATGTTTTACAGTTTTTGTTGTTGAACTTTTAGGACAAGATTGATTAATCTATTTATGAATCTCAAAAAGTAACATATAGTTTCTCGTGTCTTATTACAGAGTTTAATAGTGTCCGTGCTGACCTATATGGATAATATAAGACTTGGTTTTGTTGTTGAGAATCGCTTCATTGATCCCCACAAGTTTATGCCGTGTGTTGAAAAGGCGTTCCAATTAATTTTCGAAGCTGCAACAACTACTTCAAAATTATAAATATGTTTTATATATTTAAGTATATATAGAAAATTCTTCTCTACTCTATTTAATTTTTAATATTTTCTTTATTGTACTCAATTGGTTTTGAGTTTTTCATGCTACCCACCAATAATATATATGAACGGGTTCATAAATAATTCATAAGGAGAAAGTTTGTGTATAAGTAAAGCTTGTATAAGTAATAATTTACAGCCTTATTATATATGAATGAAAGATTTGTAACTTTTTTATTCTTTATTTATTAACTTTCTGTTTATTCTTAATACATACTTTTAGAATACTTAACTTCCTTCTTGAGGATTTGACTTAATTTATGGTTTTCCCTAACTAATTTTATCTTGAAGAGAAAAAATAGATAAGAAAAGACAAAGAGAAGCTAGTAAGATTGTGCGCAACAAAGAGCTCTTGATACAATTTTAATGCTTTCAAAAATGTTGAATCTTGTTAATACTTTGATTAGTCAAATGAAGATTAGGATCAATCAAATGAAAGTTTGGATCAATAAAATGAGAATCATAATTATGAAAATGATAAAATTAATGATTTGATAGTTCCTAGTGACCTACTAAATGCATGATGCATCAATTTTTGACAAACTTAGACTTAGCACTGTTCATTTTACCTTAAGAAAATAATATTAAATAAAAATAATTTCAGTTCAGCAAAAGTAAGTTCAGTTATATTAAATTAGTTTCAGTTTAGTAAAATTCAATTTTCTTAAACAAGAATTATGATAGAAATTCAGTAAAAAAAATAATTTCAGTTCAGCAAAAATAATTTCAGTTCAGTAAAATTAATTTAGTTCAGTAAAAATAATTTAAGTTCAACAAATATAATTTTGTTTCAGTAAAAATAATTTTAATTCAGCAAAAATAAGGTGAAGTGAATGGAGCCTTAATAAAGAAAAAATAATTCCTCATCTTGTATTTATCAACTTAACTTTAAGGAAATTTCAGCAAAAATAACACCTGCTAGGCTACATAAGACAAGTCATCTAATAATGCATATTGGTGCAGATTACAAAAACTTAGATATACTAGTCTATTCCTAAGTAATTGATACGTTCTCTTAGATATATAAGAAAATATTAGGTAGGAAATAAGCTTAGCTAGGATTAATAAAATAATTCATTCATCCATTCATAATATAATATAAATTCCTCTCTTTCTCTCTCTCTCTCTCACGGTGTCTAACTTTTGGGGGTCAATTTACGTACCCTGTTCATTGTTGAGATTAATTAAATGCCCTAACTATTCACCTTACAGATGCCAAAAGAACAGTCAAATTACTTCTTTATATGAATAAGGTATTTTGTTTCATCAATTGAAGCACATTATTCAAATGTTCAATATGCCTTCAATACCAAAGAAGCTAAGGATTGTACACCAATATGTCATCAAAATAAAGACACATTTTCTTAAGATAGAGAGGAATGAAAATGTGGTTCATCCATCCTTGAAAGGAAGTCTAGTAATCCCAAAAGGAATTTCTAGAAATTCATAGTGCCCATACCATTGTGAGTCTGAATCCACGCACCTTAAATTGGCGATATCTAAGATCGATCTATCTTGCAGAATAATTGAATACATAAGCACTAGATGATAGCTCATCAAAAATCATCAAAAAGCTCATCCATCACTAGTAAGGGAAATATATCATGTACATTTTTTTTTCTCGTTAGCTCTATCTATATATATATATATTTCGCACACACATCCTCCAAGAACCATTCTTTATTCCCACTACTAGTACGACAAGATCAAGATGCAAATGGGCTTCAAGCATTCAGCCATGTTGAATGATACCTTGAGTTAGCTAGCATGCATTTCACCCCCAAGGTTTTCAAATTTCAATGATGTCTCTATGCTTCAAACGATATCTAATAGGGTCTTATATTGATTACTTGACTAGCACCACACTCCTATGGTATCCTATGATCAAACAAACCTCTAGCAAGAGGTAAACTTTTAAGATCCTTAGATTAAATTAGTTGTCACTTGTAAAAAGTACAATTAAGCAGATTCATACAGATGATGTGAACCAAGCACCGCAATCAAATTCCCACTATACTAGTATACTCAAAGAGTAACAAAAGTATGTGTTATCGATTTGATGTTCAAAGTGGATTTGTTGTACCTTCTAATACACAATTAAATAAATTTATTAAGGTGAAATCTACATAATATTTTTATTAATGTATGTTTCAAATTATGTAAAGAATCTGATTCTTGTCCTACATTAAAGATGAGAGGAGATATTTGGGAGATTAGTTGCAAAAGCATATATAACTCTTAACGTTATTCATGATAAGTCAAAAAATTTAATGTTAATTTACATGAACATGCTTGATTTAAGAAAATGCTTTCTAACACCGATAAATGAGAGAAAGATAGGTATGATAAGTCAAAGAATCTAAAGTTATAAACCATAGATTAGAGAGTAAAGCATAGATTTGGGGTCTAAGTTTTAAAGAAAGTTTGTGTTTAAGATCCAATTTGTTTTTTTATTTTTATTTTGGTTTTCAGGGTCTGAGTGCAATTTTCAGGCCAAAATTAATTAAATAACAGAGGATGAAAAACTTAAACCCTTAATTAGAAAACTAGTCCCTTTAGTTAACTAATGAATAAACTTGGACCCTTCAAAGTTCAACCTTTTCATTTACTAATTTCGGCCCTAATCACTTTTTTTATAAAAATAATATTAAGTATAAATATTTTCATTTCGGTAAAAATAATTAAGTTCGGTTAAATAAAATTATTTTGGTTTAGTAAAAGAAATTCAAGTTGAGTAAAGATAATTTCAGCAGTAAAAATAATTTCAATCCAGTTAAAATTACTTAAGTTTGACAAAAATAGTTTCAACTGGTGAAGTGAATACGGCCTTATACAAATCATGGCTAAGTAGCTAGCTGCTCACGAATTTTTAATGGTGAAGGAAGGTCTCTAACAATGGCAGAGGTATTTAATGGTGATGTTGACGACATAAATTCCCTAGTAGAGTTGTACACGCTCAATTACAATTATATCCTTAACAGTACACTTGAATATACTATTTTGCTCCTCAAGGTTATAAACTTAGATATTCTCTTGTTACACAAAATGTAAAACAGAGATAGGTTTTTTTCATTATAAAATGTCATTTATTTTGTAAACATACGTTCACCAAACATATCAAGGCTAGGAAGAATTAGGAGTTTTCCTTAAGACAATGGCTTAGTGGTTAAAACTTTAGCTTTAAAACTTGAATACTGAATTAATTGAGAAGAGCATCATGTGACACTTAAACTAGTACCATTATATATATATATATATATATATATATATATAGAGAGAGAGAGAGAGAGAGAGAGAGCTGTCAGTTTCTGACCCGAACCGTTAAACCCGACTGTTTCGAACCGATCCGAAAAGGAACTGAACTGTTTAAAACCCGTTTTTTGGAAATCGAAAACTGACCTGACCCAATTTTTTCCAAACCGAAACTGAACTAAACCGAATTTGTGCAAACCGTTACTAACCCGACCCGTTATCAAGCCAAACCGTTACAACCCGAAACTGAAAGCAACCCAAACCGATTATGTTTAAACCCGATAGTAACCCGACCCGTTTTAAACCGAAAACCGTTAAAACCCGATAAACCTAAATTGTTCCAACCCGTAACCGTTGTGACCGAACCGGTTATAATCCGTAACCCGTTGTGACCGAACCGTTTACGACCCGTAGCCCGTTATGACCAAACCGTTTAAAACTCGTAACCTTATGACTGAGTCATTTACAACCTGTTACCCAATATGTTTATGATCTAATCTATTTCAACCCACTACTCGATAAACCCAACTTATTTATGACTTGACTTGATTATAACATGACTCGTTCCTACCCATTATCTGACTAATTCGACTCGATAATCATCCGACTCAATTTTAACCCGATATGATTTTGATTAGAAACCCGTTTCAAATTGGGTAAACTCGTTTTCAAACCAACCAAGTTCAATCTAAACCGATTATAACCGAAACAATAATGGTTGGACCCGATTTCACCCGATCTATTTTGAACCGAAACCCATTTTCGAACCGACCCAGTTAAACCCAAACTGATTATGACCCGAATCAATTACGACCCGTCCTGATTAAGACCCGAACTGTTTTTAACTGAAACTCACATTAAATGGGCTAAACCCGTTTTCAAACCGACCCAGTTCAACCCAAATTGATTATGACCCGAACTGACTAGAACCCGACCCGATAAGGACCCGATCCGAATAGAAACTGCAATTAAAAAAACCAAACCGAACTGACCCGATAATTTTCAAAACCGACCCAAACCGACCCGCTTATTATTTCAATCCGTTATAAACCGACCCGTTATAACCCGAAACTGATAAACCCAACCCAAACCCGAACTGTTTAACCGAATTGACACCCCTATATATATATATATATATATATATATATATATATATATATATATACTTGGTTATAATAAGAACTCAACATGCTTCCCGTGTCATTAATGATATTTTTGTAATATTTCAACTTTACAAAGTGATTTCCAATTTCATTTCTAAAAATCAAATGAAAAGTTAGTAAAAGTAAATAAAATCAGTCATAAAGTAAATAAAATTGCCTTAAAAGTTAAAAAACTGGAAAACAGTTTTAAAATTTGCAAAATTACGAAAATATCATATCATTAATGAATGCGGGTGAGATGTGAGCAGTCGTATGAAACGTGATTAAAGGCTCCTTATTAAAAAAAAAGTTACTCCCTCCGTTTCAATTTATTAGTCCCATATACTATTTTGGGCGTTTAAAAAAGATCTACCCATATGGAATATATTCTACTTTTAACTTAGTTTTTATTTCCTATTTTATACATAATAAATTCTGATTGCTTAGATTAATTGATTGTGAGTTAATGAAATGACTCTAAGTAAAGAAATTACTCCCTTGATTTATGCAATTATGGCTAATGCTTTCCTAAAAAAAATCAAAAAAAATTAAATAAAGCAAAACTATTTGTGAATTGTTTTTTTTACTTTAATGCTAGATTCCAAATATTCTCCTTTTCTTATTTTATGTGATTGATTCCATATGGGACTATCATATTGAAACGGAGGGAGTATAAGAAACTACGTTATATAAAATTTAAGGTATGTGAAAAATTACCTTATTAAAAAAATGTCATA